CTCGGCCGCGGGACGCGTCTCAGTCTCCTTTCCGCTCATTCTCCACGAGCCGCGCTGGAAGTGGCCGCAAACGCCGTCGCCTCCACACAGCTGGCGTGGACGGAACCGTCGCACGCAAGTGACGTAAAACGAGGAAACGGAAGTCCCGCCTCGCCCAGCCGTACCGCCCGTCCTGGGCCGTCATTGGCCCAGCGCCCAGGGCTCACGCACGGCGCGTAGCCTTCTGGGTAATGTAGTTTTCCTCTACAAACCACGAGCAGGGCCGCGCTGGTAGGTTGAGCCGTGGGTCCCACCTCCGCCCTGGGAAACTGAGGCCCAGGAGGCCGGGACATCCGCCCTGTGTCAGGACAAGTACAAAGCCTGGCCAGCAAGGCTCCGTGGAGCGTCAGCCGGGGCACCGGAGGGTGCAGGTTCAATTCCCCATCAAGGGCAGGAACCTGGATAGCGCCTGATAGATGTCTCTCTCTAACACCAATGTTTCTCTCCCTCCCTCCGTCTCTAAAAATCAATGGAAAAAATATCCTCCGGTGAGTTTTAACAAAATAAATAATTTTTAAAATTAACGATGAAACCCCACCCACTTCCCTGGAGACTTCCCCCTGCGCCTCATCACCTCCCTGGACCCTTCTATAGGCAGCAAGGATAAATGAGCAGGCAAATTAACCACCAAAAGGAGGCCGCCAGAAGCCCGCCTCCCCCGTGGTGCGCCCACAGGGACAGGTCTCTTAGGTCTTCTTTACCTCAGAGCCACCTCCACATGGCGCAGGGACTTCTGGGTCACAGAGTTGGGCCCAGATCACCTGAAGAGTGGTTTGCCATCCCCTGGGGGTGCCTTGGAGGGAACCCAGACTCTAACTCGGAGCATGGTCAATTTGGAATGTCAGATTGTCACATAGTGTCACATAGGCACTTCAACCTGTGCCTGAACGTTGGGAGAGGGTTTGTGCCTGAATATATAAATTTGGGAGCTGTTAACATACACTGTTTCAAGTTATGATACCAACAAAAGAATGAACAGATGGAGCAAGGAATGTGTGGGGGGGACTCTAAACCAACCCAACACTAACTAGCGGCAGATAAGAAACCAACAGAGTCCTGCTAGGAATTCTAACATTCCGTGTAGGATTACGTTGCCTGAAGTCTTAGAGGTCACTATCAGTGACTTACTGTTTTCTTCTCAGGAGTATGAGTAGGAATACATGCGGTTATGAAACTGGAAAGTGTGCAGAAAATGCCCTCGAGAAAATTAATTTTCCCCCAATAAATTCAATTTGAAAAAATATTTAATTTTTAAAGTGGAGAAAAGCATAGTGATACCAAGGTTGTGGGTTTGATCCCTGGTCAGAAACAACATACAAGAAACAACCAATGATGCATAAATAAGTGGGACAACACATCAATATTTCTCTCTCTCCCTTCCTCTCTCCTTCTAAAATCAACAAGTAAAAAATGTTTAATGATTAACCTTTTATTAATTAGCATCTTGTATTTTAAAAGAGAAGAAACAAAAAGACAGACAAGATAGCAGAGCCAGGAGAGCTTCCTAAACAAACACAGAGGAACGGGGCAGACAGGGCTCAGGAAGCCATCTGAGTAGACGGAGGCATCACCCTCCGAGAATGGGCCCGCACCCAGGGGTGCTGCAGGATCTGGGCCAAAGGCAGCCTCTCCGAGGGCTGGTATCTGAGAAGCTTGCTGATCAAGTCCTGGGCCCCCAAAGGTATTGATGGAGGAAACTTTACATCAACCTGAGGAGGCCAAAGAAGAAACAGAAGTATGGTTAATTTTTCTGGTCCATGTTCTCTCTGTTCTGAGTCCGTTCAAGGCATGGGAATCTAAGGAGACGAGCTCTGTGTATGCCCCAGGAGGTGCAGGCCTGGCAGCCGCCACTGACTGGCTTCCCCAGGAACACCCAGAATATGGCCATCTCACCTTGAGGATGCGTCTGTAGGTCTCCGAATAGGAGGAGCTCTCAAAAGGTGGATTTCCCACAAGCAGCTCATAGCAGAGCACCCCGATGCACCAGAGATCCACCTTCTCATTGTACGTTTTCTGCTCGATCATTTCTGGGGGCAAGTAGTCCAGAGTCCCACACATCGTCTTTCTCCTAGAGGGCAGGGAAGCAAGTGCTGAGTAGAGGCCCGGAACAAGGGAAACCCTCCTTCCATCCTAGTGAAAGGGGAGACCATGGGAAGTCCTGTGGAGTCCCCTCCCTACCAAGGGAGTTTGGAAACTCTAAGTTTTAATATGAATAGAGGTTCAGAGAAGGCAAGGGCTGGGCCCTACCAATTCCATATTTTGGAATTACTCATACAATTATTTAACTCATGATCCAGGGTGCTCTCACAAGAAATTCTAGGCATCAAGAAAGATTTGGAACAAACTGATGGTGCATTAAGAGAGATCAAGAATAAGAATTATGGTTTGTTCATGTAATCAATTTCCTAAAATTATGGAGCAACGGCTCTTAGTTTACATAGAAAGTTATTGGTAAAGTTGTATGTTAGCAGAGTTTAATCTTCACCAGAGGATATTTTTTCCATTGATTTTTTTCGAGAGAGTGGAAGGGAGGGAGGCAAGGAGAGGGAAGAAGGGAGGGAGAGAGAGAGAGAGGAAAACACGGATGTGTGACTGGTTGCTTCCCGAACTCGCCCTGACTGGGGCCCAAGATGGAACCTGCAACCCAAGTGTGTGGCCTTGACCGGGAATCGAACCCGAGGTCTGGCACTCTAACCACTGGACCACACTGGCCAGGGCTATTTTCTTTGTTTATATCATTATTCTATAAGCTTTTTTCCTATTTTTAAAATTTTAATATTTTTTCCTTTTAAAACTTTTTTGTTAAAAACTAAGAGGAACACACACATTAGGCTAAGCCCAGAGTCAGAATCAGCAGTATCATTGTCTTCTGCCTCCACATCTTGTTCCGCTGGGAGGTCTTCAGGAGCAGTAACACTCATGGAGCTGTTATCTCCTGTGGTAACAATGCCTTCTTCAGGAACCCCTCCTGAGGACCTGCCTGAAGGTTTCTTAAGGAGGTGTCACTTTTCAGAAACATGTCCATGGTCATTTACTTATTTTTGTTTTTTCTTTTTTTCACCATAGATTTGCTTGTAAGCAGACAGTGCACCATGAACATTCCTCTCTATTAATGAAAACCTTTCAGGGTTGGGGTCCATGTTTTCAAACTTTTTAAGGAGCCCACTGAGGTCTGCGGAAGCTGCTGCTAAACCCCTCACTGTGAGTTCTCTCGAGGGTCCTTCTGTTTCTTCTGCAGTTGCCTTTTCTCCCGCCTCCTCTTCAGCTGTTCGTGCCTGTTCAGTCCCAACGCCCCTTGTTGGTCAGTCCCCCGGGAACCCCGCCCGGGAGCTCCTCACCGTGGTCCTCACAGTTGTTGGCCATCTCAACCACGGCCCTGCTGATTTTTGCAGTCTCCTCACCCCTGGCAAGTTCTTTGAAGTCACAAAGGAACCTCTTAAGTGTCTTTTTCCAGATGTGGTGCATATACTCCCTGGTGACATCACCTGAAGCCCAAGCAAGGTTCTTGATGCAGACACAGACGTTGTAATCCTCCCAGAACTGTATCAGTACAGTATAATAAATACTCAAGCCAGTAACAGTCGTTCATGGTCATTATCAATTGTATATATAACTGTGTGTGCTATGCTTTTAGATGACTGGTAGGTTTGTTACACCAGTGTCAACATGAACAGGCAATGAATCGCGTTACAACGTTATTCAGCTGCGTTACTAGGCAATAGGAATTTTTAACTCCATTACAATCTTGGGACCACCGTCGCATATGTAGTCCATCATTGACCAAGGGAAGCATTGTTATGTGGTGAATGCCTTTACTCAAATACAAATCCAGGCCTGTTTCCGGGTCTTCCATGTGGAATGTATTAAATTGGATCATTCCTAATGAGCACCCGGGGCCCATCCCGCCATCACCTGACTTACCTCAGCGACGGGGTGTGCACAGACCAGCCAAAGTCTGCAATCTTCACCTCACCCCGGAACCCCAGCAGCAGGTTCTCCGGCTTAATATCCCTGTGAATCACCTTATTCTCATGGCAATAGGTCAGAGCATCTGCCAGCTCCTCCATTATCTGTGTGAGTAAAGAAAAAGCAGTCTGAAAAATGAAGCCTGCGAAAGCTTCCCTGAGGTGAAATACTCATCACGCATTGTATAACTGTAGTGGAGTCTTCTATTTCCTGGTTACCGACTCCATTACCCCCTTAATATGGCACCATAATTATTGGTGGGGGAGGATTTCCTCTCGCCCATTTTATGAAGTCTGATGATGCTAAAGTGGACAGATAACTCCCTTTTGCTCTAGCACAGCAAGTAGCTCAACACAGAATCTATGCTGAGCGAATCTACCACAGGACTTAAGGCCTGAGGAAATAATACAAAAATGGAAGGAAAATGGGAAGATCATTCACTCGGACAGCAAGCTGACCCAACCATTCCTGCTGGGATGACGGTTGCTCTGGTTCTCCATCTGGAGCCCTCTAGAACTGTCGTTTCCTGCTCCTAAGCCAGGTTCCACTCATTTATACAGCCAACTCCCTCACTGCCTTTCAGTGTTTCTCTGCATTAGATTCTGTTGCTTACAACCAAAGGATCCAAACTGATACACACAACTAATTCATATTCTGAGGGTAACTGGGGTATTCAAATGTGAAATTATAAGATACACAGTATATGTCATCATATAAAATTTATAGAACAAAATTCAAAGGTAAAGAGAAAAAGCAATCTGGACATTCATGACAGCCACAAAGTGACCCCCCCCATACCACCCTACAGTAAACCCATGGACCCCAAAGCCCCAGCCACCACCACCCCACCCCACCCCACCTCACCGTGGCTGTACGTTGCTCATCTATTGTGTGGCTCTTTTGCAGCTCCTTGTAGAGCTCACCCCTTGGAGCATATTCCAGAATCAGGTACACACGACGTGCATCATGGAAGTAGTTGTACAGGCGTAGGATATTGGGATGTCTGGAGGAGAGATGGGGGAAGGGTCAGACTCCTCCCTGAGGCCCAACTCATGCTGTTATTACAAGTGATTGGTAACACAAGAAGCAAATTTTGCTGGGACCAGAATAATAGCAGCCTGATCTGGGAGTGCATGAGGAGAGAACAGGGAATGGGCATTTGGTGTGTGGCACAGGGAGATTTACATGCTGTAATTGTAATAAATTGCAGAGAAAAAAGTCTTCGAGACAAAAGCAAGGTATACTTGGGGGTAGTTTTGGGGGAAATGCTGGGTTCAGATGGCAAAGATAACTGAGGACACAGCCCAGAGGGGCGGGGCTCAGCGGTGGAGCCTCGACCGAGGGCGGGGATCCAGGAGATCAGGGTTCGATTCCCGTTCAGGGCACATGCCCGGGCTGCCGGCTGGATCCCCAGCAGGGAGTGTGCGGGAGGCAGTCCATCAGTGACCCTCTCATCATCGACGTTTCTCTCTCTCTCTAAACAACAAGGGTAAAGAACAAGTGTGGGCCCTGGGCGGGTGGCTAGGTTGGTTAGAGACTCCTCCCCAATACGCCGGTTGCTGGTTGGATCCCTGGTCAGGGCACATACAAGAGTCTACCAACGATGCGCAAATACGTGGGACAAACTGATGTTTCTTCCTTTCTCTCTCTGTGTGTGTCTCAAAAAACAACAACAGTGCGGAGCCGTCCTGCAGAGACTCTCCTTACCGTAGATGCGCCTGGATTTCAATTTCTCTGCGCAGCTGGTGCTCCATCCCTTCCTTCTCCAGCTGCGACTTGAAGAGCACTTTCAGGGCCACAATGAAATGGCTCTCCTTGAGCCGGGCCAGGTACACGTTCCCAAATTTCCCCTTGCCCAGGGGACGCCCGATTTCGAAGTCTTCAATGGTGAGGCTCCGGCTGACAGGAGAGGCAGGAAAGACCCTCGGCTTGGGGGTTCCGCGGAGGGAGAGTCGGGGACCCCGGGCTCACCGTCTCCTCCACTCACCCGCCCTCCGTCGCTTTCCCTTCCCCGGGGCCCACGCGGGGGGCGGGGGCAGCGCTGTCCCGCGCCCGGCTCTCGGCGCGCACGGCCCG